GACTTCTTTGATATAAGGGGAGTAACTAAGGACAGAGTAGGGACGAAGAGCAGGAGAAGAAGATTAACATTAAATAGGGATGAGAGGGGGGAGGGAAAGGGAGAGAGAAGGGAAATTGCATGGAAAGGGAAGGTGATACTCAGGGTTATACAAAATTACATACAAGAGGAAGTGAGGGGTAAGGGAAGAATAATACAAGTGGAAGAAATGATTTACAGTAGAGGGGGTTGAGAGAAAAGAGGGGAGGGGAGGGGAGGGGAGGGGAGATAGGATAGTAGAGGATAGGATAGAGAGCAGAATTCATCAGACACTAGAATGGCAATATGTAAATCAATGGAAATGTAATTGATGTAACTGATGTGATTCAGCAATCTGTATACGGGGTAAAAATGGGAGTTCATAACCCTTTTTTTGAATCAAACCGTGAAATATGATATATCAAGAAAGATGTAATGTTTTGAACGACCAACAATAAAATAAATAAATAAATAAATAAATAAATAAAATAGACACGACTTTAAAAGGAGATATAGGAGAAGAAACAAATACTATCATAGCAAGGGAGACAGCAATTTCAGTGGAATAGTTTATCATCTGGGTGACCTCAGATAAGTTATGCCTCCTCCTCCTCTCTACTTCTTTATTTAGTCATCTATTAAGTAATTTGACTGAATTTTCTCAAGGCTTTGATTCTTAAATAAGATGTGCAACTAATAGTTCACTGGTTAAATTGTTTTTTCCCCCAGCTTCTGTTTCTGGATTCAGGAGTTCTGGGTAGGTCTTAGAATTCCCTAGGTGATTATAATGTACAACTAGGTTTAGGAACAATTGATCTAGGTCATTTTAACTTTGTCATCTTAAAATTATAATCATAGGATAAGGCAGTCAAAGTGCAGAAAGAATCTTATGGCATTGTATTAATTCAGAGTCAGGGAAAATATTTTCTTGCTTGGGTTATGGGAGTTGGGCTTAATACAAGATGATGTTGAAATGGACTTTCAAGAATGCTTAGAAATATGGGGAAGTTAGTTGCATGGTTGGTGTTTAGTCCAATTTAGTTGGAGGCCAGAACATATGCACATAGCAGGAAGAAAAAACTTACTTGTTTTGATGCAATGGACCATAGTTCTAGTTTTGTTTTATGAGAACATACAAAGGGTTTATAGTACATACTTTACCTGCCAAACTTATTTCCCTTTTAGAGACTAAAGATTCTATTATTGCAGCTTGATCATTTTGAGGAAGTGACACATGTGATCAGGTAGTGACAGACATCATGAAGGTGCTTTGGACAATATTTGAGCATATTTTTCCTCAAATCTTTTCGGACTGTTCTTTTTGAGATCCACTTTGACCACCCCATTGGTTTTATGGTTAGAAACAAAAAATATCAGGACACACTCTGTTATCTAAAATAATAGTTTTGCTGTCAGAATGATTATTATTAAACCAGAGATGGCTTTTTTGTTTAGATGAAACCATATAAAGGCAACATTCTGAGTAAATTATATAGCGTCCACTTGATGAAATAATGAGCCTAAGTGTAGGGGATGAAAGTAATGAGCCAATGCAATATTTAGAATGGATATACAGTATATAGTTATTAACCTAAAAGTCACATCCTGCATTCTTTTAATTTGTGGAAAATTTGTCATTAATTGCCCAGGAAACCTCTGATTTTTCATACACAATCATGTCATAGCTACTGACTTTCTCCCCCTTCTCCTGCCTTAAAATAAATCCTTGTAAATAGTGGATTACTTTCAGATTTGTAATGCCCCCTTTAAATATTGAGTTACTAAGTTTAGCCCTGTTGCTTTCTTTTTGTAAACAGAGTTCATTTTCCCCCTTAACTTTGCCTTTGAGTAGTTACTGACAAATCACACTTTGTTTTTTCAGTGGCAACGAGCTTAAAATCTTATTTAACCTTCTGCCAAGCGGTAGCCCTGCTGATTCTGAATTGCTTTTTGTTTTCATTAATTACCACTGCATGGAGGAAGTAGATATGGTCTTCCACTTATCAATAATTTCTGAGATAGGTTCTGACCCGTCATTTAAATTCACTCTAAGTGGGTCAGGGTCAGAAACACAGAAGTCAAAAATTGAAAGAATAAGGTAGTGGGTAAGAGATGGGGCAGCCAGGTTGATAACTAGCTTAGAACCCAGCCCTTGACAATTCCAGGCAAATATCTCAGGTTGTTGTAGGATTTACAGATAAACTTGTGATCATCCAGCTGATCTGTTACCTCATGCAGGCCTTGCTAATGTTGCTCTATTGACCACCAGTTGACTTTGAAGTAGAGAAGTAGAAATAACAAGCCTCTTGTGATTAATTGCTTGCAAGGAATTACCTTTATTAATTTGAATTCTTAGCCTCCATTTGCATCCAAACTCCTTAAAGGGTGACTTTCATTAGGATTTATTTGAAGGAAAAAACAGCCACAACATAACTACATCAAAGCTAGATCAAAGAAGTGCCTCTCTTATAGAACTTCAGACCTGATAAAATTTCCCCAAATTCAGGAAGAGGCTCTTTGAGGAAGTGATTTGATTGTATTCCTTCTGTATTTTTATCTTCCAGACTGTTAGGATGAATAATAGAATCAGAAGCATAGACCTTGGAAGCAAATTTAAGATCATGTACTATTTTGCAAATTGTGATCCGTGTTCATGCTCCCTGTAGTGATGTTGCAGGCTTGACTCTGATTCATCCAAAGCACTTTGGAAATTTCCTGCTTATGTATTAGGATATCATGTGTTATTTGATTTTATGTAAGAGTTTTGATTTTTTTTAAAGTTTAAAAACAATCAGTTTAGTTTAAATGTCCAAGACTTTACAGAGAATGTATTTGAAGGTCAAATAAGTTAAATTATATACCTGCAGTCATGAAAACTACTTAGAGGTTGACAGAAATTAGAAGTCATGAATCTGGACTTCTCATCCAGGGCATTTTTTACTACAAAATGTTGATTTTATTTTCCATTTTGAAAGACACAGAAGTGATCTGTGAAATGGTGATTAGCACTAGGCAGCCCCAGGCAGCCCTGGAGTGCTCCATGGTTCAAATGCCCAAGACCAGATGGAAGTCCAGAAGTGGATGACTCAAAGTTTATTAGTTTTGCCACCTGGGCAGTGCAGCTGAACCAGCTGCCATAAGGCAGTTCCAATTTCAACAGAGCAGTAAATGAATGTAAAAATGCACATAAAGCTCAAGAATAAAGTAAAGGAGAATAGCTGTTCCAGCAAGGAGATTCATCCAGGGTGAGTCCTATTGATATTTCTTGTAGGAGGTGCAGCTGCCATGCCAGGTAGAGGAAAAGAAAAGGTTATGGCATCAAGCCCTTTAAAAAAAAAAAAAAAAAAAAAAAAATCAACCCTTGAGTCATTCCCGGATCTAATCTCAATGTTTGAATTGATGTATTTGTAGGCTTCCAGTCACATCTGATGATCTAGATAGGGAAAAAACAAGTCAATGCAATATCATGGTTATGTCATGAAGTCAGAAGCATCTCTCCCACCCCCACCCTGGAAAATATGGGAAACCATTTGATCAACTCCTTTACATATTTCTGGTCCCTGAGGTACAGGTATTCATTGGAACCCCAAACCCCAAATTCACATCCTTATGCTATCCTCATAGATAATTGAAGTATTGTAGGATTTCAAGATCTGTTCATGAAATACTGCAAGAGTCGGAAGTGAACCCTGAGATTTTAGATGATTTCTTTAGTAGATTCTGTGGTGCTCACAAAGAGAAATGAGTATAATAATGAGGGTATGGGGGTTAGGGCTAAGTTGGGAGTGGTACAGTAATTTTTGTTTAAATGAGGATGGCTCACTAGTATATTTGAAAAATATCAAAAAATCTTGCTACTCTGTGTCAGGATTCTTGAGCAACATGTATCAGAAAACCCAACTAAATTGACTTAAACCAAATTCAAGCTTACTAGTATTATTTTTTATGTATGAGAATTTTAGAAGAATGTAGCTTCTGACTTTGGTTCATCTTCCCAGTAATGGTTTTTATGTGTTGCCTTGGTGAAAAGTGAAAGGATACAGGTGGAGAGGAGAAAAACACATACTCATGGCCCATGTATTTTGTTATGGCTCTGATGCTCAAGGCTGGACTGAAGATCCAAATGCTTGGTCACCTTCTGTCTTCAGATGATCTTTTCAGGAACTGAATGTTTATGTGTTTATATTTCTCAGTTGACTATTATTTAGTCTCAAGCAATAACATAACACTGAGTATAAATGCCTGTATATTTTCTAACTGGTTAGGCAGTTTTTTTCTTCTATAATGACATGAGGTGAAATAACTTTCATATAATATTCTGTTCATGAATATGGATAAACTTAACTGTTTTTATTTTTCTTTCTTTTTTTTTCTGGCAGGTGGCATGTTTGACCCAGGTAGCTGTTAATTATCTCATTGGCCAAAAGGAAGCAAAACGTTGGGGCACTGCTCATGGCAGTATTGTTCCTTACCAGGTAAAAAATACATCAGTTTAGCCTGTTTCTATAATCTGAAGTTTTGTGTGATATGAATTTGAGAAATAATTTCTTTTTACACTCTCCAGGGTATTTTGTAATGTATTTCTGTCTGATTATAACAAGGTTCTGTTGTTCACTTTAAGTTCTGCGTTTTGCATATTTCTTCATCAGAAGATTAGTAACAGGACACTTAAATGGATTAAAGGAATTTGCTGAAAGTGAGTGACTTTGGGGCTCACATGATGGTTTGCTTTTTTTTTTTTTAATCCAAAAGGAGCATTGACTATAGCCACTTTATAAAGCAAGATTTGTTACCATGTCATTCACAAAACAAACGTTACTTTTCCCATCTGATGATAATATTATCACAGGATTGGAGTGAAATGAAAATTTGCCTCTGACTGATCTTAATTTTTGGGCAATGCAGATGGCTTAGGAGCTGCTCTTTTTCAGTAAGTGTCTGAACTTATCTTTAGAAATTCTGGACTTTGGTTAGTATGAATTCTGGACTTTGGCTAGTGAAGAAACTGTGATCTTTCAAAAGTATAAATAAAAACAAAAACATTTCCTCTTCTTTCAAACCCCTAACCTGTGCTTAGTATAGTTGCATCACATTTCATTGCATTTATTAATATATCTCTTGTTTTTTATACTATATTGTAAATTTCAGAAAAGGGGTATCTTTTTTATAATCATATCTTTTTTTCACAACCAATATAAGCACAGACTAGGCACATGTAAATTTCTGCTGAAAGAAGGAATGAATTTTACTTAAGGTATTTCAATATTAGTGCTCTTGATAGAAAACATAAAGGTCACCATTTTTAATTTGCCAGCAAATCCAAGAATACTGCTAATCATCCTGTTATTTTTAAGAAATTGTTTCCCTGGGTAAAACTGGTTTTTTTTTTACACTTTTTAAAAATTCAAATTTGAAAAAGCAGTGATCCAATGTGTATCCAGGTTTCTTCCCTCTCTGTTTATGGTCCTTTTATTCCTGAGGCATTCCTATGATTTCACCATAGAAGTGCTTTTCAACACATTAAGTAAGCACTGGAACTTACTTGTATAATTTCAATAAAGGAGATGCTTCCTTCAGTGCCTCCTCTCTTTTTTCCATCAGTGGTTTCATGATCATCTTAGGGACATTTTGTTTCTCTACTTGCTAGCCCTTTATGACTGATTATGGACTTCTAGCCAGAGCTACCTTACTTTATGAAAGTCCTTGCATTTTTAAAATCTCTTTAAATATCATCAAATTAAGCCTTCTTATTTTTCAGATAAGAGATATGATACCTAGATTGAATAGATGAACTCCAGCTCTGGTTTTCTGCCTTCTTGTTGAGAATTCTTTTAGAGCCTGCTATCATTGAGAGGAGATTGCTGTGATCTCAGTTCCCTTCCTCAAATTCACTTCTATAGCCTCATAATCCAATTTGCTCCTAGCTCAGAAGTCTTATTAAATAAATTATAGTCATGATTAATAATGGAAATCCTTCTCAAGGGCATTTTAACATGGAATAATGCTGGAATCTATGTGAATTCTTATCAAATAATGGAAGTTCGGGCTTTAGACTTTGATGGAGAAAGTTTTTCTGAGGTGAAAGTATGTGTAATACAATTCTGAACATCCTAAAGGCAGAAGTAGAAATTTTATTTTTTTGTTTATTTTTAAGACAGGGTATTTCTTAAAAAAATTTCTGTAGACATCAACTACCCCTCCTAGACATTCCACATAGAATTCTGGCATCTTGAATACACTCTTAATTATTTCACTGTGAGATAAAAAGAAATTTAGACTCTTTGGCTTTTATTTTGTAAGGTCAAAGATATGAAAGAGTCAGTGTGTGTGTGTGTGTGTGTGTGTGTGTGTGTGTGTGTATGATATGTGTTATATATTAAATATGTATATATATGCATAATGTATATATATGAATGTGTATATGTGTGTGTGTTCTTCAAAGATGGAAATGTGCTTTTCCTGTTGAATTGTCCCAGTGATATAAATGGTACTGTGATTATTGATCATAGTTGATTGCATCTTTATTACCTGTAAGAAATAAGAGATCTACTAGGGTCTTTCCTCAGGAGCCCAGAATTAATTTGTTTCCTCTTGGTAGAGAACTGGTTCAGCCTATGATTAAGAAATAAATGCAAATTTAGGTTGAATGAAGCTAGCATAGCAAGATAGTTCCTGGATATGCTTAGAGATCTTAGTCTGTTTTCAATTTTTAAATAGATTTGGGGAATATTTTCATGGGTGATTGCCAAGATAATTATAATCCAGTTTTCTATAATAATTACAGCTTTGCATCTAATTTGAATTGTCTGAATTTTGAGCAGAGTGTCTATACTGGAAGACCCCAGTGGTCTCAGATGCTAGGTAAGGTGCCCAGCTCATTTTTCTCTCAGTCATTGTTAATCCTTTCTGGAAAATCATAGACCTTGAGATACATGAAATGAATTTTTTTTAGAAAGAGAGAGAGAGAGAGAGAGAGAGA